TTTCCAACCTAGTGATTCTGTGATTCTATGTTTGAAATTACCCCTTCTACAGGTTTTGAGGCAAGCGATAATAAATGGTTGTTAATCACTGGAGTTCTACTGCAAACACTTGAGCTCCAGCCTAATGGGTTTGAATTAAAGTGCTGCTTGCAGGATACCTGTGTTGTTTTCAGTCAATTTGCTCCCTGTGGTTAAAGGCCTGACATTTCTCTTCTGGTTGAAATTTAAGCAGCACAGTGAAGCATTAGGCAGAATTCCTGTAGCATTAGACAGGATTCCTCTATGCCTGAAAAAGAATTCAGTGATGGTGAACAAATGAATAAATCCAAGTTTTTCATCCTTAGGCCTTAATTGCACAGCTAGTTTCAGGGTGTTTAACCTGAGATTCCAGAGACTCAGATTTTCAGAAGTGCTAATGGTCACAATTGCAAGAAAAGCAAACTGATGCCATGCTGTGGACTCTGCAGGTCCTGGAGAAGTATTATGCTTTCTGAAAAATTAATCCGAGATTCCTAATTGGACATAACTGGTGGAGGTTTTCAGCAAACATCTTTGACTTTCATGTTGTCGTCTGAAATTACCCAGCTGTGAAGTGGGTCTAAATATTACTCCCTAACACTCTGGAGCTGTAATGATGATGCAGGGTATTTGTGCAAAGCATGCACATAAGGCTATGACAGCACTGCAGAAATGTCTGTTGGGGGATTAATGATACTGTGTTCAGTGCAGGGTTTTGGTGCTTTGCATAAAACAAATCCAGAGGCCATGCTGAATGAGAAAGCTATAAAATACTATTGAATAACTGTGTGTTAACCAAATGAGCGCTGGGTTCTTTGGTCTCCAAAGAAATAGTAGTTGATCACAAAAGTAATGACAAGACAGCCAGATGATGACTGCAAGTGAACCATTGTGGCATATTTTAATCCCTAATGTATTTCTTTGGAGAAGTAATATAATTAAGGAAGTACTTTGGATTGAGAGGGCATTGCAGGGTGGTTTCTATTCAAAACTAAATGTTATATTTTTGTTTGTGTTAGCTGCACTTACTCAGTCTAGCGGCCTAGCAGCAAAGTTTGTCATCCACTGTCACATCCCACAGTGGGGCTCAGACAAGTGTGAAGAGCAGCTTGAAGAGACTATCAAGAACTGTTTAACAGCCGCAGAAGACAAGAAGTTGAAGTCCGTGGCTTTTCCCCCGTTTCCCAGTGGCAGGTATGACACTTTCTGTATAGGAGGATTCTGTGTCGGGTAGCAGTGGTATAATTAGCTGTCAGAGCACTGCCGCTGTGATAGCGAGAGGTACCCTCTGGTACATGGCACAGAAGGTGTGGCAGGGGCCATCTGACACCATGCTTCTCCAGATTAAAGGAGCTTGAAGTGTGGTGTTTGCATGGAACGACCAGAAAGCCTTTATATAGAGAAATTAGCTCACCCACAGGAGAGCTGAGTGGACTTGCTGTGTTTTCTATTGCTAGTCAGTAACTTTCATTCTTCTTCTATGGGCCTGCACCACCTCAGTTTTTATATCCCTTCATTTTGCTGTGGTGAATCTTACTAAAGCTACATTCATACTAGTAAATTCATACCAGCATAAAACGGGAGGCAAGTAACAGTAACCTGAGCTAGGTAAATGTAGGGGGTTCACTTAAGTCATCCCAAGGATATATATTAAACAGAGTAGACACACAAAATGTTTTCTTTCAAAATAAAATATATGTTTCTCAAATATAGTTCCCCTTTAAAAAGGGAACTATGAAACCAACAGTGAAACTACACATTTCTTCTCAATAACTAGCAAATGTGCTTGACACACAAAGTACTTACCTTTTTTCTTTTTTTTTTTTTCTCTTTTAAAACCAACAGTTTGTTAATCTTGCTTGGTCTCTGATCACAAGAAACCTTACACAAGCCCTGTGGACTGCAGAAGTTGTTCATGATGGAGCATGTGAACATGCTTATGTTTAATTTGAAGTGTAACTACTGATTTTGTTAACAATGCCCAAAGAGTAGCGTACATAGTACAGTCCAGTTGTGTTGGCCTGACAGTGAATAAAATGAAAGTAAAACTGTGTTTTGGTCAGGGAAATCGCCACACATCACTGAATACACAGGAGGTGAAAATGCCATTTTTACACAAGACACTTTTCAAGACAAAATAATATTTTTATGGATCAAGACAAAAAAATCAAGAGGCAGGGCAGACACAGATCTTCTGTTTATATAAATATATATATTTTTTTATATATATATTTTGTTTTTATACACAGATCTTTTTGTTTCTAGTGTTCAGTCAAAGCAAAATGTGATAAATTGTTTTACCACCCTTTATTATTAAAGTTCAGCTTTCAAAAATGAACTGTAGCTTTTAATGCAAATAGAAATAGTCTCTATAGACCTCATGTCTCCTGTGAGTGTTACCTAAGAATAATCCAGTCTTGGAGCATTAGTCTTAGTGCAGATTCTTCTGCTGCTTAGTTCCACTTCACACTCTGTTGCTCTTAAAATTACTCCTGCTAACAGAAAATATAGTAAATCTTAACAGGTGCTGCTGGTTTATACTTTATTTATCAAAGGACCTCAAAGTTATCTGAAAAAAGGCACTTTTTTTTTTTTTTCAAATAAGACTTAATGGTTTTGCTGTCATTTTATTCCACCTACATGTCTGCACAAGAAATGCTGGTTTTATTGGGTAGATGAGGAATTATGCTGTATTGGGTCTGTGAATTTTCATTTTTCCTGTGTCCCATCTTAGGGACTGTTTACAGTAACTGGTAGAATGTAGCAAGAGGTGGGATAGCTCAGTTGTGCCAGGGCTTTTCACTTCTATGATCTTGGCATTTAAAAGTAGAGAAATGCAGTTTAGATTAAATTACTGTGCTGTGAAGCAGATATAAATCAGCTGAAAAACATTTTCAAAAAGTCCTTATCGATAGCTTGCTGCCAGAAAGGCTATTTAGCTGGGTTGCTGCAGATACTGTCCAGGGACTGAGAGTAGGAAAATCTGTTTGCTAGTAATCGTTTGGGTTACAGTGAATATTGATACAGCAGTTGTTGACAACTATTTTTTGGATGATATTTAATGTAAATATAAGTAGTCTGAAATGACTTAACATGAAGTTGAGTAAGGAGAAGTGAGTAGTACTAAACTTAGAAAGGGAAATAAAAACCAATGCACATCACAGTGCTATCAGAGAGTGGGGGAAAAAGAAAAAAACACTGCAAAGGCAGTCCTGGATGCTATTAAAAGAAATACTGTAATATTTCAAGTGTAAGGATTGTTAGGCACTGGAATGGCTTATCTTTGTATTTTGATGTAACCCCATCACTGAAAGATCTTTAAGTATATAGGTTAGACAAACTTTTTTCAGAAGCAGAAAAGTTATATGTAATCCTGCCTCAGAGGAAGGATGTAAGCTAGGTTGTGCTGGCCAATTTTTTTGGCATGGATCTAACTTCGTCTGGAGCATCATCATGCAGTAGAATCTAGATAGCAGGCATTAAACTCAAGAGCAGCCAGCAGAGTTATGCCCAAAGACTCATCTGAAATCTCAGCTGGGTCTTAAGTCACTTTCAGACAATTTGGTATGTCCCAGTAAAGTCTCATCCAGACTTTCCAAGGTACATGGCTTCCTACATACTCATGTAGCAAGCACTGCATCGACACTCTCCAGTGTTGTGCAAAATCAGAGGAACTGTTACGAGCATTGTCAGGCAGCAGAGAAACTCCAGCAGGGAATGCAGGAGAGTGTCTTTCCCTCCAGATGGCAGTGGCAGAGACGCACAGGTATGAGTGGTCCTTTCTAGGTCAAGGAATTTGTTTAGTATTAGACAAGTAAAACAATGTGGAGACACCTTCTTGAGCGTGAGCATACTGCAAGGCAGAATATTTCATTAGACCAAGTTCAAACTGTAGAACAATTCTTGAAATTATGTCCAGTATTATAGCAGTCATATTTTTATATAAATAGAGATGCGAAGCAGCTGACCTTCATAGTAACTGTGCTCTTTGCGAGGTGCTCTCAGCCCATTCCCTTGTAGTGCAGAGATGAGGGTGAAGGAACTGTGTTGCAGCTGAATGGTTTCATGACTTAATCATTCTCATACTCCTTTTTCAAGATGGAAAAAATGCTGCTGCCAAGAAACTTGAACCTCATGGTTGTAGAGCAGGTGCCTCAAGACTTGTCAACACAGTTGAAAAGTCTACATGCTGTAAAGACTGGAGCTTTTAGCTTTTCAGAGTGTAGGTTAGAGAATATTACCATCAAAATTAATGAATGAATGCATCTTGGCCTTAACTTGGCTTGGGTTTGTAATTTCAATTATTTTCACCAAAGTCTCAAGCAAAGTATTTTTAATGACAAAGTGAGGAGGACAGCTAAGTAGTTGCTGTATTTTTATCTTCTTTCTAACAAAAAAAGTATAATCATCCCTTGAACTCTTTAGCCTGCCCAGCATGGCATAGAAAAATTTAATTCTAAGGGAGAGCGTTAAAAAACTTTGTGTGACTGTAAAAAGTAGACACAAGTGAAAACAGTAACTATGCCAGCAAGGAAGCTAATATAGCAGCAGATGAATATTGCTGTCAAAACCTCGGGGTTTGCTTCTGGGATTTCCACATTGTGAAACTGCAACTGGCACTATCTTAGCAGCAGCCTGTAGTTGGTACAGCTATGGCTTGTTCTTTCAGCATCACATGTGCATAATGCTTGCACAGATGGCTGACATTCGCTTGTTCTGTTTTCTTCCCTTTCCACATAGAAACTGCTTCCCAAAACAGACGGCAGCCCAGGTGACTCTAAGAGCTATCTCTACCCATTTTGACGGCACCAGCTCTTCCTCCCTGAAGAACATTTACTTTCTGCTCTTCGACAGTGAAAGTATTGGCATCTATGTGCAAGAAATGGCCAAGCTAGACACTAAGTAGCAACAGCAGCCAAATGAAACTTTATTTTTCAACAAACTTGAGTAGCATTAAAAGCATTAGAGGTGGGTTTTATTTTTTCAATGTGATGAGGGGGAGTGGTAGTAGTGTGATGTGTTGTGACTTAATGGAGAGCTGTGACTAGAGATGAGAAGGGTTTAGTCCGATTTCTTCATGCTATCAGCATCCCCTAGCCATTTATATCACCTTAAGCAATTGAGTTACTGTCTACTTTTCAGGAGTTTTAGTGTCCCTTGCTATTTTAGTTTAGAAGTTTTTAAAAGAGTAACCTCATTTTAGATTTGTAGTGATAAATTTTTCACACACACACACACACACACACACTCTCTTTAAAGAAAGCTCTTAAAAATATTCTGCTCCTTTTTCCCCTCCCTTGAGGGTAGGTGGTAAACTTCTGCCTCCAGCCCCAAGCGAGGGGAAAAGGATTTTAGAAGTGATGCATGAGGAGCGTGTTTTGCTTTTAACTCACAATAATCTCTGTAATTACTGAGAATATTTCATGGTGACTTTCTTTGTTTTATAAGAAAAAAAGAAAAAGATGTGTCAAGTGTGGTTTTTATTTGCTCTGGGCATTTCTCACCTTAAAAAAAAAAAAAGCGGGAGGTGGGGGGGAAGCAGCAGCATCTGTAATTAAGTACTTGCTGTATCGTACTTGGCACACAACTAACCAGCCCCTCAGCTCTTCTGGCTGAAGTATAGTGCTAAGTGATGTAATTAAGGCTGCTGTGAAGATGTTGACACAAAGCTGCATTATATTCTGTTGAGTTCCAGGACTACCCTAGCTTCTTCAAGGCTTTAGGCAGGCTTTCCCCAGGCAGTGCTGTGAGCCATTCTTCTTGCACACTGGAAAGTGGATTTCAGATCCGTAAGAGGCAGGTAGTTTTTTAGAAGAGCAAGAATAGAGAAAGCCAGGGCAAAACCACATAACGAACAAACCACAGAGATTTTGAAAACCACAGTGTTTATTGTTACAAATCAAGGTAAACCAAGTTTCTTGCTCGGAGCTATCTCAACAGGGAAGAAAAAGAAATATTCCTTCCTTGTTTTTTATCATGAGAACTCCTGTGCACTTCATTTGGAAAGTGCCTCCTTCCCCTTTACAGTAAGGCAGGCCACCTCTTTAATGCAACATACTGATGAGTGGCTTTAGCAGGTGCTGCAGGAGACAGTATCGGTTTTGTCCAAGCAATAAAAGCGCACCCTCACCCTCTTACAGTTGCTGTATTCCTTGCTGGTTTGTTACTAATCCCCTCTTAAGAGGGCATTGTCTGTCCCATTGTCTTCCAGCTCTTGGAGACAAACAGGTCCCGGCTCTTAGCAATGGTCACTAAGAGATGTCCCACATAGTAACCATTCACCTGGCCCACGCCATCATTCCTGCCCATCGAAAGCAGTAATGTTAGTGACCCTGGAAAGAAGATGTAGAGGTTTAAGTTAAGCAGTTTCAAAGCTAAGTATCAAAGCCTGGATGTTGCACTTTTTCCAAACCCTCCCTTCTCAGCCCTCCCTCATACCCACACATACTGGTGAGCACAGGACCCCTGTGCTGCGTGACAAGGAAAGAAGCAGGCCCAAGGAGAACTACTCACAACTCTCTACCATTTGCTCTACCTTGTTAATGGGATTGCCAAAGGATTGGGCTGGCTGTGTGTATGAGGATTCTCTCCTCCCAAGACGGAGTCCAAGAGGTAGACAACAAAATGTAAGTAGAAAGAAATGTAAATAGACTGGACAGCCTTTAAAAACCAAACTGCTGTCCAGCTATCCTCCAGCCACATAGAACAGCTTTCAACACAGTTATGGTAAGTATTTACATCAGTTGCTTATTAATGAGACCCATCACCTCGCTAGATTTTTGAGATTAGATCAGTTTGTGGCCATTGTATAGTTTAAGTAGAGAAGGGGGGAGAGAGTCAAGTCATCTCCTTGTTCCTAGGATTCAACTGGACAGTAAGCAACTTAAAGAAAAGGTAACAAGTTTGATGAATAGCAGACACCCACCAGTAGATTTATCAGGAAGGCATTAGTGAAGGAAGGACATGTTATGTCTAGAGGCTGACACAGATAATTAACTTCTACAGTGTCTTTGGCAAGAACTAAGATGAAGCTGGAGCTATAAGCTTATGCAGTCAACCCCATTTGTGGGTTCCTTCACCTCTAATCCATGTCCCATGCAAATTCAGATGTGTACGTGTTAAACAGCTGTTCTCTGCAGAAAAGCAGCCCAACAGCGAAGGCCAGGTGGTAGGAGATTACCTTACCTGGTTCATAGGTTTTAAGAGGCTTATGTGTCAGGCTGTTGATGATATTTGTCACCACGACGTTGGCATGTAGCCCAGCGTGGTAGGCCATCTTCGGTTCTTTCAGGTCTGCACAGTCCCCGATGGCATAGATGTTCTCATAGCCTTCCAGCTGGAGGTGGTTGTTAACTTTCAAAGCACCGTTACTTGCCATTTTGTCCCCTGTTTTGCCAAACAGTAAGTTTTCAGAAGGAGCTTTGTGGTGCTGCTTGGGGCCTGAGGCCCCAAAATGCTGATGATGTTACCAAACACATCACTGACAGAAAGCGAGGAGTTGGTTTTTCACCCTCTTTTCTACATGTCAGGGAAGAGATGCTTTTTGCCTTCCTGTAGTTAATAATTAATGCAGTCTCCTCCAATGAATCATCCTTTGATATTTCAGCAGAAACATCAAGAAACTTTAAGAGCTAGTGTATGCAGCCTGAGACTGTACGATGGCCATACTGCTCCATAGTTGTAGTGCCATAACTGAAATTGGAGTGCAAGAGGACTCTAACTGAAGCTGTATTATTGAATAACTGATCAGCTGAATGCCCTGTGACATTGGTAGTTCAGCAAAAGCGATGAATGTGCTGAGCCTGTTTTTGCTCGGAACTCGGCAAGCTTGTATCTAGGATGAAATCCTGGCCTTGACAGCAGGAGCTACCATCAACTTCTAGATGTCACCATCAACTTCTAGGTGTCATCTGCCTCACGCTGAACTAGGACACTAAGGTTCCTGGATGGAGGTACTAGCAGAAAGAGCTGGAGAAGACTGTTGGCCACTTGATCTATGGTCTGTAAGTTTCTGAAGGTCATGTTTCACGTATTTAATGTGATGTTAGAGCACTTGCTGTATCGTGGAATAACCACTGCAGGTTGTATAAGGTTGATTCCTACTCTCACAGTACTCAAGTGCAAGACATAGAAGAATTGCGTTGCTTCTCCCCACCCAGTGGTTTTTCACTTACCAAATGCAGCAGCATATGCTGAAGAATTAATCTTTATCCCCGTGCACAGGACCACCATGTCAGCAACCACCTCGGTGCCCTTTTCTGTCCTTACTACCCTGTCCTTCTGGAACTGGTTTGGTGTGAGGTCTTCCACATTGCTGACCCTTTCACCTGTCGTGACAGAGCGCCCTGGGTTACAAACCTTTACTAGACTGTAGTTTTCAGCTAGCCCAGATGGCTCTCTAGAGAAACAGGAATTCAAGGGAGCCATGCTTAATAAAGTCAGAAAGAGGACACCAGAAGGAGATTCGTTGGCTAATATAGAGCTTCAGAGGCATTGTTAAGTACGTACTTAGTAAGAGGTGCACTCCTTTTCTGAGGAGAATCTCTTTCACCTCCTGACGGACGCTATCTAGCAGCTCTGCATCAGCTAGTGCAATTTTTGAGTGAATGAGGGTGACCTGTTGGGGACAAAACAGCAAATGGGGACACAGGAATGGGACAGGACTCGCTGTGTGCCGGGCGGAGGCAGCTATACCTAGCTTCCTTCCGCCCCACTTAAGGCCCTTAATGCGAAAGGCATCTAGGGCCAATAATTGCTGGTGACAGGCTATAGGTCACTCTCAGAAGGGGAGGCAGTGGGGGAGAAGGCTGCCGTTGCAGGGAAACTCCAGATTTGCAGTGATCTCAGATACTTCCAGCAGGAAGTCTCAGAATCAATGATGAAGTTAATTGTAACTAATGTGCTACTACCTCTTTGGCTGGGTACTCTGTTTTGATCTCTGCAGCCATCTCGACTCCAGCAGCACCACCTCCTACTACCAGGATGCGCTGCGATTTCTCAATCTTGAAGTAAAGAGGAAACTCATGTTACAAGAGAACTGTTATGTGCAGGAAGTTGGACGCCTTCAGCCACTCCGTGAACAGGTGGATACAGCACTGGCCCAACAGCAATAAACCACCTAGTTCGTTAAGAGGAAACAAAAAAATGAGAACCCCATGCACTCTTCCTGTGTACACTGTAACACTGTTGAGCATTTCAGGTTTCCCCTTGTGCAGACAGCTGGTCTTCCTCGGGGGCACGCAGAATGCTAGACAAGTTAGCACGTGCTCCTTGTCCCGTGTCCTTGTCCTCGTCCCTGCAGGCATCACGGTCAACAAGAGACCGTGGCACAGATGGCTCCAGGTACCCATAGTGGTGTCTGGGACAGGGAAGCTGAACAAAGGCAGGCAACACTTCCTTAGGAAATAACTAGATTCCTCACCTCTTTAACCATTTCTTCATAGGTCTGGATGGCACTCTCCATGTCAATGACTTTGTTGAACTTCCCAGGGAATGGCCCATCACTGCCTGTTGCAAGAATGAGATGGGAGTAGTGGAGCTCCTGGGAGGGCAGAAAGTGGAATAGGGTGTTAGACCTCTTAAAAACAGAGCCTAGAACATAGCTGTTGCCTCCTAGGTGCTATTCGTTCATTCCCTCTCCTCCAGCCCTTGCTGATAACTAGGAAAGTACTTGCCACTTGTCAGAAAGTGACTTGAGGAAGAGACCTTGGTCCAGGTGACACCGAGTAACTGCCTTCCTCAGGGTCTGAGAGAAGCACCATCCTTCAGGTGAGCCGAGAGCTTTGAAGAAATTACCACAAGTTTACAGAAAATAACCCGATATTTATGCCAGATACTAAAGCTACCATCACAGCTGGCTCCAGAGACTAACTTCTCTCCTTCCTCCTCTTCTGAACAAAGATGAGATGCTCTGGCTGAAAAGAGTCATCAGAGCTGCTGTCCTCGTTTCTTCCTGCAGTTAGATAAGGATTTGAGCTCCAGGGTTAATTGTTGAGCTCTAAATCCAGCTCTGGGAATAAAAGCTCATCTTAGCACTAGATGGGGTGTGGTATTTAGTGCACACCCACATCCCAACACAGCTCTAGGCCACTTAGCTTGGCTAGAAGGGATGGAGCCATTCAGTGTGTGCGGGGAAAGGTGGTCTCTCTTGCCAAGCTCTTCAAGTGGATTAAACGCTAGAGTATTTCCCCACATTGCCTCTTGGTTTTAGAGGAGATGGCAGGGGGCCTGCTTCTCACTGGGGCAGGCCTCCATAGACGTAGGTCATTGGTTTCATTCTTCTCTCCCTTCTAGTGTTACAGGGCCAGTCTTAAGCACGAGCATTTGTGTATCTGCCCACGTGGCAGAAACCTAGAGGAAAGCAATCAGTGCCTTCCCAGAGGGCTTGGGTTGTGGCTTGTTTGGGGTCAGGCATTTCAGCCAAGCTGAGGGTTACATCAGAACAGCAACTCTGGGGGATTTGGATAGGTCAGGGTTCGCGCGCTCAGCTGACCTGCACTGTAGGAGATATGGGGGTGTTTGCCACAATTGAACTGCATTTCCAGCTCGAGGGCAAAGGTCCAGTTTGTTTTTCCCAGAGCGTGATTCAGTCCCACGCACGCACATCCCCTCCCCTGGCAAATGAGGGTTACACTCCTTTTCCTGCTCAGAGGCACATTTTCTGTAGGTGCTCTGTGGTCCTGCTCATCTTGCTCTTTCC